GGGCTTTTTAATTTTTTTAAATTTAACATTATTTGCGGTTTGCACCGGAAGTTCATATATAGTCAATCGGGGCCTCATGCCTGTAAGGTTTCCATATTTGGTCTCTGATTTCATCTATCTAATTCCATTCTCGAGAATAAGGAAAGACAGAGGGACGGACGACAGTGGAAATTTATAGGTCTACAGTTTTTTTCATATTGCAACCCGATAATGTATACTGTATATGATTAGTGGATCTAACAAAATGGAGAGTTAGAGGGAAACACATTCACGCGTTAAGAGACTTGAATATCCATTCAAAGATAATTTTGAGATTATGGCAATTTGCAGTCAATTTTTTTGTTTGTTTTTTAAGACTACTTTCAGCTACAGGAACATCTAGTTAATTCAGGCAGCAAAAATTCAGATGTAGGTCCTTTATATTATAATTTTTCATAGGGTGATTTGTCCTCTTTAGTTCGGGCTCTGCCATTCATTGTAACCGGGACAAATGTATTTTGGGCCCTGAAGAAAGGCCATTTTAGTGCCATCGGGCAAAAAGTTTAAAAAAAGGAACAAAATAGATAACAGGTATATCTTGCTTAATTAACACAGTTTTTCTTAACGCGGGATTTGATTAACGGGCAAAATTAATTGTGACAATCCCTTTACATATGTGGCAGAAGTTTTAATTTACGTGGCTCTACCAGCTGTCATACTTAATTAACATACTGTATTTTAATTAACCGCATTAATCAAGGGATAGCTGTACTTTTTGATCTAGTTCATTTGTACATCATTCATTATTTTTAATTAATAGAGTAAATATGAATAGATCATATCAAAATAAAATTAGTTTATCTTTTGGTTTAAATAAATTTATATTGCTTGCTGCATATAATTACTTTTAATGGCGTAGAAGATGATAGCTCTTCGGGTTCTCATCAGAATTACTCGTTAAGGTTATTTTTGTGTCGATAGAATTTTTTTCTCTTTTTGCCCTGTGGGCACTAAGAGGGCCTCTTATGTTGTTGTTGGTTAAGTTATGGCAACGCAACACTTGGACGATCTGCCTAGGAGGGATGCCTTCCGGGAGGTTTTTTTTAATACCCCGTTCGCACCGAGCATTTCGATCTAGATTGTGACTAAGGTCGGAGAGAGTTCCGTGGTGAGAACGCTCTCGACCGTTTCAATCTCGACTGAAACGAGGTTCTATCGCGATCGACTGGAGAGAGTTCTTGCAACTAGATCCAGTCATAAGAGAGATCCCACAATCCCACGCGCGCGAGAAAATACAAGATGGCTGCTGAACACGTGTCCGGCTATCGACAGAAAAATAAAAAAGACATCTGGAGAGACGATGACATCTGTCTATTATTAGATATACGGCAAGAAAAAGTATTTATTTCTAACCAAAACTTCCATTTTGTTTGTTGGTGTTCGTGACTTACCGCGTAGTTATGTCAATTTTATCATCGCGTGTAATAGCCGGGTTCTTCTCAAGCGAGTTACCTGTGCGAACAGCACGACGTTCCACTGGCGACAGTCACAATCCAGATTGTGGGTAAATCGAGATCGAAGTGAGT